ACCTCCGGCTCATAGTAAAAATCTAGAAGGAAGACAAGCTATAGAAACTGAATACTCACATGCAAGGTTGGACAGAGAGAAAAGCAAAAAGGTTAGAGAGGGCAAGCGACTAAGAGGCCAGACAGCATCTAGGCTATGGGAGAAAGGGATGCTGGGATGGTAAACAGGCAGAGAAACCAAGTCCAGAGGGACAGCTATTTGGGTGCCCAGAAAAGGTTGACCAGGGAGCTAGAGAAGTAGAGGGACAGAGCAGGAAACAGGCAGTGACTCGGGCCAGCACTGTTGGGAGAGAGAATCAGAGAGGGGCCAGGAGAAGGCTGGCTAGAGGAAGCTGGTGGAGGGATCCTAGGTACTCGGTTTACAGCCCATCCACTTCCAGCTCAGGGAAGTTCCAAGAGGTTGAACACTCCAGCTAGGAATGGTAGCATGGGATTGGAAGCCAAGATAGAGAGCAGGTGTTAGGGTTTTGACAGGATCAAGGTTCCATGGGCAGTGCTTAGAAGCTGAGGTTATTAGAAGACAGCCCTTTCACCATCAGGATACATCGTGGCCCAGCACCAGCCCGCTCTGTGATTGGGTCCCAAGGCTCTCAACTCTTGTATCCACAATCTCCTTTTAGGCCAGTCCATGGGGAGGGAAGAGCGGACAGCCAGTGGGCCTTGTGGCTGAACAGCCGTGCCGTCTCCATGGAAGAAGCTGTGGGCTGTGCTGCCACCAGAATTCTACCACTTAGGAGCCAGTGACTGGCGCCACCACCAATGCCTGGGCCAGGGACTGTCTCCGGGGCAACGACGTGCTCTTCCCAGCAGTGGGGCCTGACCCAGGCTGTGCAGGTGGCCCAGTCCTGACAGTCTGGCCTGTCCATTCGCTACAGTGTCCTTTGAACCTGGACTACTTTTACACATCCTCTGTGTCACTCACTGCCCCCCCCCCAATATAATTTGCTAGGTAATCAACTCCTCCCAAGTTAGAGGTGAGCTCCACCTTGGGGGGGACTCACTGTCCAGTAGCATGTGTCTGTGTGCATATGTTGAATGAAATACAACCCTGCAGTACTGCTCCACCAAGGGAGCATTTGTCATTCACTGAGCCCACACCAGGTATTTTATAAGTACTGATTGTATTGTACATGGGGTTCCACTGGGTTCAAATCACTGCCCTTTGCTGGCTGTGCACACTTGGCTAAGCTACTCTTCCTCTCTGAACTTCAGTTACGTCACCCTTCGGAGAGGGCAACAATAATTAGCTCATGTGGTTTGTGCAGAGGCTCCAAGGAGAAAATATACTGAAAGCATTTCTCAAAAGACTTGAGATGCCACATGCTTAATCCAAGCACTCAGTAGGCAGAGGCAGGTGCATCTCTGTAACATGAGCATTCATGCATGAAAGAAAAAAGAAATTTTTGACTTGGGACAAAATGAGGATGTCTGAGCATGTTTGCCTTTCTCCTACCCTTCACCCCTCCTTCTGCTAATCTCACTGGACTTTGGGAAATGCCAAGAGGGAAGGAGACAGGACTCCAAGCTCTAGGGAGCTGGAGACCTGTGAGTGAGGCTAAGCTTCAGAGAGACCGTGGCATTGCTTGGCAGACATGAGTGAGCAACACAGACCCAGGGTTCCCTCACATGGCCTGGGTCTTATTTAACCTCTCAATTCAAGCATGAACTCAAAACTGGCTGAGTTGGCAGGAAATGATTCCAGCAACTTCTTGGCCTGAAACAGGAAGATGTTGGGCACTTCTATATTCCTGTATCTGTATTTCCCACATCAGTAGGGAGAGAGTGGTCTTGAACTCAGCCCAGTCCAGGTTCCTCTCTCTTCACAAACATGTCCTGAGAGATGTAACTAGGCCCAAGCTGTCTTGCTTGACTGTTGTATCTCCTCTACTTATTTTCAGTTATAGCAGCAGAAATGGAACATAGGACTGCCCTACACTCTCTCTCTCTCTCTGTCTCTCTCTCTCTCTCTCTCTCTCAAGCTAAATGTTCACTCTACCACTGAGCTATACTCCTGGCCCTCTTTACATTTTATTTTGAGACAGGGTCTCACTAAATTGCTGGAGCTAGCCTTCAACTCAATTTGTAGCCTAGGCAGGCCATGAATTTATAGTCCTCCTGCCCCAGTGCAGAGCTGCTGGAATTGCAGGCCTGTGCCGCTATGCCTTGTTCAACTAGACCTTTCTATTTACGGATAAGCAGCTTTGTAGAAATGCAGATTTTCATTCCAAGGAGTCAGTCTACCTCCACATATTAAACTGGAAGCGGCACTTTACAAAGGGGATCTGGGTATGAATTGGCATTTGAGAAGTGCTCATCTTGCACCCTGCAAACTGGTCCAGTTCTCCAAACTTCTGTCGCCTCACCTGCTGAATGAGGAGATAGTGATACTACCCTATGCATAGCTGAGAGGGTTCGATTAGACTGAGCCCCAAACTTAGATGCCCGGGGTACTTAGAATGCTTTAAGGTGTCTGTAATGCCCATGCCTGTAAGGACCCTGTGATGCTCCAGGTGATGGAGGGGACAGATGGAGACAGGAATGACACAGATGGGAGGAAGGACTGGAACCCCGAAGCTGGGGAGGGGCAGGTGAGGAACAGAGAGGCAGAGGGCACTGGGAGGAAGGGGCTGAGGGATGGAGCTGAAGGGAAAGAGGAGCAAGGGGAAGGAAGGTGTGGTGTGAGGCACATCCCATCTCTCTCCATCCTGAGGTAGCAGCTGGGTGGTCTGGGGTGGGAGGTTGCTAGCAATGAGTTATGGCTGGAGCTTTGCATCCCCATGAGTTCCGTCCAATCCCTAGCTGTGTGGCCTCTTTCAAGTCACTTCTCCTCTCTGAGCTTCAGATTCCTTCTCTGTAACCAAGACCATTAAACACATCTAAAATCAGAGGCCCTGGGTGGATGACATGGCATAGCAGTAGATGCTTTCGTGTTTTGTAAATGTCAAGGTGCCTGCTATGCCTATTTCATTGTTTCAGAAATCAGTTTGGGTGAAGGAAGTACTGGGGTGAGGATGGGGTAGGGGTGACGGGTAGGGCATTGCTGAAGCTGCAGGTAGGTAACTCACCGGAGGAGGGAGGACAGAACTCCACCCCTCAAGATGTCCCTGGAGGTCCCCTCAGATTGCTTTAAAACTCCACTTCCCAGCTCTCAGCCCAGCATCTTCCATTAGTCTCTCCCGCTACAGTCAAGCCTGAGGAGATCTTTTCCCTCCATGCCACTTCATGCCCTTTCTCAGCTCTTACAGTGTGAACCGTGCATTCCCGGGTGAGGAGTGGGGGTAGTGTTGGAGCACACTGACCCCTTGCCTCCAGAGAAGGTGCTGCTTGTGATGGGTTTGACCCAGGGGCGCGTCTCTATGGGGTGAGCCTGGCAGGGGGCAACTAGAATCCGCCTCTTTCAGTAGCTCTCCCATTCCAGCTGCTCAGTGACTCCAGGCAGCCACTAAAATCCCATCAGAGCCTGTGCCTTCATCTTTGAGTCGCCAGCACCATCTGGCGTCGTTGAGGAAGAATGCTTATCGAGGAGACAAGATCTGGGCTTTGGATAGTAGGGGTTTATGGGACAAGCGTACAGGACACCAGGCAGGTTCGCTGCTCCTGTACAGCATGCTCCTGTACAGGGAGCATGGGCAATGGACAGTGAAATGAGTAGATGAACCAGGTCTCAGGTCTTGATGTATATACTGAACAACTGAACAGAGTGAGCATGCGGTGTGAGGTGAGTGGGATTCAGGACTCAGTAGCTCTGTTATTCCTGGAGAGGGAGCGACAATAAAGCCCGAGGTGAACAGGAATACCAGATGTTTGAGTTTGTCACAGTTTCAGGAATTGAGGGACAGAAGAGGGCCAGGGTCACACCGAATGGCAACTTTAAGGCTAGGGAAAGAGTCTGACTTTGTTCTCTGGAAAATAGGAAGCTATCATTTTAGTTTAAAAATAAGTTTTTCTGAGCTGGGCGTTAGTGGCACACACTTTTAATCCCAGCACTCGGGAGGCAGAGGCAGGCGGATCTCTGTGAATTTGAGGCCAGCCTGGTCTACAGCTCAAGTTGCAGGACAGGCTCCAAAACGATACAGAGAAACTCTGTCTCGAAGAAACAACAACAAACAAAACAAGTTTTTCTGGGGCTGGGAGATGGCTCAGTGGGGACGAATGTGCAAGCATGAGGACTCTGAGCATCCATGTAAAAAGCTGGGCACTGGGGCACGTATCTGTAACCCCAGTGCTGTGGAGGCAGAGACAAGAGGACCCCTGGAGCTCACTGGCCAGCCAGCCTAGCCAAATTGATCTCCATCCATCTCAGTGCAAGGCTCTGTCTCCAGGAGTAAGTAAGGTGGAGGGTGCCTGAAGAAGGCCCTGACTTTAATCTCTGGCCTCTAGCACAGCGTACACACTGGGTACAAATGCACACATGTACAAAGAGTGAAATGAGTTTTATTGTGTATCCCTGAGATTTATAGCATGATGTATACGCTACAGATACAATCTGGCAAGGGAACATGGTTGGCTTTAGTGCTTTGACTTCTGTGTGGAGAACAGAAGGGAGGGATGGCTGAAGGGAGACAAAGTAGGTGGAGATCATGTTGGATCTGCTATGGGAGTGGAGAAGATGCAGATTTTTGTGGGGGAAGATGCAGATGTTAGGGATCCTAACTCAAAAAAACCAAGTAGCAATATCAGTAGGAGGAGGACCCTTTACTCAGTGGAGGGAGGGCAAGACTTGGAGGAACAGCAAGAGGCTGAGCCTGCGTGGTGGTGCACACCAGAGCTTGTGTGCTTAGAACAAGAGGAGTGTGAACTCAAGGCCAGCTACATGGGGAGCTGTTGTTCACACAGTGCAGCAACTCTTTGGTAGGGGAATTCCTGGGGTGCTACAAGGCCCTGAGGAGGAGCACATCCAACTACACAGTGTGAACCTTCCAGAATACAAAAAAAAAAAAAAAAAAAAAAAAAAAAAAGATTCTGTTACTTCTGTTACTGATACCTTCTATCTCCATCCAGGTCTACACTCGCTATGGGAAGTGTTACACCTTCAATGCGGATCCTCAGAGTTCACTGCCCAGCCGGGCAGGTGGCATGGGTAGTGGCCTGGAGATCATGCTAGACATCCAGCAGGAGGAATACCTACCCATATGGAGGGAGACAAGTACGCAGGCGGGAGAGGGATAAGGGTCAACTCAGGGATGAGGCCTGGGCTCTGGGCTTTGCTCTCTGCCTGGAGTAGGTTCTGAAGAGGTCTCCTCATCCCTGCTGTGCAGATGAGACATCATTCGAGGCAGGTATCCGGGTGCAGATCCACAGCCAGGAGGAGCCTCCCTACATCCATCAGCTGGGGTTTGGTGTGTCCCCAGGCTTCCAGACTTTTGTGTCTTGCCAGGAACAGCGGGTGAGCATCCCCAGCTAGGTCTAGCCTGGGCACAGGGCACATCTGTTTAAAGGGATGCTGGCCAGATCTGCCTTGCAGACATCCAGTCTGCAAGCCCCATGGCCCTTGCTGGGGCTCTTGACACTAGAGGACTTGCCTTGACTGACATGCTTGGCCCTGACCTTGTCACGCTCCATCTCTGCAGCTAACTTATCTGCCCCAGCCTTGGGGCAACTGCCGGGCAGAAAGCGAGCTCAGGGAGCCTGAGCTTCAGGGCTACTCAGCCTATAGTGTGTCTGCTTGCCGACTGCGCTGTGAAAAGGAGGCCGTGCTTCAGCGATGCCGCTGCCGGATGGTGCACATGCCAGGTGGGCCCCTCCAGCCAGTCTTTGGTGCCACTCTTCTGGGCTCTTCAACTTCCAGGGGGCAGAGACATGTGTACAATATGTACACGTGTCTACACTCATGAGCATGTGCTCCGGTGTATGTTTGGATAGTTATGCATGCTTTCATGTTTGGGAATGCACGCTTACACATGCTTGTGTGCATGCTAATATATATTTGTGTGGATGTGTGTGTGTTGGGGTTGTGTAAGCAAGAGTATGCACATGATTACATGTATATGTGTATATATGCATTTTCACTGTTGTTATGCAGGAGTGAGTGTATACTGATCTGTATGCGTATGTGCAAACATGCATGTATGTGGATGTCCACATGGGTGTGTGGTAAGGGAGAAGAAAGGACTGTAGCTCTCAGAAACACTCTTCTCTCCTTTCAGGCAATGAGACCATCTGCCCGCCAAATATCTACATTGAATGTGCCGACCACACGCTGGGTGGGTGCTGCCTTCCCCCTTTCCCGCCTCTCCTCTGTGTCTTCTCACTCCTCCTCCCAACCTGTCCTTGCCGGGGTGGGAGGGGTGGGGGGGTTGTCTTGCCGAGGCTGAGCTTTATCTCACACCTCAGTGGGGCGGGTCCAAGGGCTTCTGCAGGTTCAGACACTTGGGTAAGTGGTGACAGATCATGGGGAGATGTTGCAGAGAACTGGGAGTGAAGGGCTGGGCTTCCCATCTCAGTTCTGCCAATGAACTCTCTCTCTCTCCTTTCCCCACCCCCCTCTCTCTGAGAAAGCGAAATGACTTCTCTCTGAGCCCTAGGAAAAATACATTGCTGGGTGTCAGTATGGGTAAAACAAACTCCATCTTTCCACAGGCCTCACATGATCTGCAACTCATCCATTCATCCACCCACCCACTTAACAACTGACTGACTGAATCATTCTCTAGACCCATTTATTCAATGTGTTCTGCGTGTTGAAAGTGAGGGCCCAAGGGCCTTGTCCATGAGTACTGAGGACAGATGCTAACAGCGTAACAGTTCTTGAGTAGGAGTATCTTAAGGTCCAGGGGAGGGAACACATCACCACAGTCTGGAAAGGCAGGGAGGATTCTACATGCAAAACTACATTATTAGCAGAGATTTGAAGGGTTCTACATGGTAGGGATTATATGTCCCATGATCCAAATAGCTTGTGTAAGCATGCTTTGTCTAAGGCACCCAAAGGTCAGTATGGCTGGAGGCAGAGGTCAAAGGAGGGAGCAGAAAGTAGAAGAGGGAGGTTCTGGGAAGCTAGCAAGGGCTTGAGGCAAAGTAGAAAGGTGAGTGGGTGAGATGCAGAGTGGAAAGCTTGAAGCAGGGCACCAGCTAGGAGCTCACTGCAGAGACCTAGCTGTGTGGGCCTCCGGGGATGCATTTGAGATGTTGGGGCAGCAGACTGGTATATGAAGATCTCCTCTGTGCCCCCATAGCACCCGCACCCGCCAAATGTGTGAGTGAAGAGCATTAAACAAAGGAACAGATGGCAGGCAGCTGGGTAAGAGAGCCACAGGTATGGTGAGAGGCCACAAATTAAGTGACACCAGGGAGCCTTGGCTCATGGAGCCGGGCGTGGGGTGGGGAGACACAGACACAGAGGTACAGAGACAGAGACAGAAAGAACACTTAGGGCTGTTTGAGAGGGGTGCTGGTGGAAGTGTGCCACAAGGGAAGAATGCAGCCTCTCCTGTCTGTGGCCGGGAACTGGAGAAACCGGAAAGAAGTATACGGTATCTCTGCCCTCTCACTTCCTGACCTGCCTGACCACAGGCTGGAGGGCAAAGGTGCCAAGGTGATGCACTGACAGGGAACAGAAGCCTTCTGGGGCGTGAGGCAAGGAGAAAGAGAATGAAAAGGGAGGCCTGAAGGGGCAAGCAGGGACATCCTAGCCTCTCAGTCCTCTCTGTTCTGTCCCTCCCTCCCTCCCTTCCATCCCAACATCCTTCCACTAACTCCTTGTGTGTCTGAGATCTCATTGACTAATTCTGGCAGATACCCTCTCACGTCCTTGTCCCAAGGAGCTGGGACCGAGGGAGAGATTTGTGGAGACGGCCGCCATCATGGGTAGTTGGTCTGAGGGGGACCCCAGTCAGCATGCTCTGGGAGGTGGCAGGTCTGGCCCTTTGAATGGACTTGCCAGCTCAGGAAAGACTCTGTGCCTGTCCCCATAGCTATTGGGCCTGTGGACCCACAGCAGTTGGCTGCCTTTGTGTTGCAGACTCCCTGGGTGGAGGTTCTGAGGGCCCATGCCTCTGCCCCACACCGTGCAACCTGACTCGCTATGGCAAAGAGATCTCCATGGTCAAGATCCCCAACAGGGGCTCAGCCAGGTACCTGGCAAGGAAGTACAACCGCAATGAGACCTACATACGGTAAGACGTGCCCACAGACGGGCTTTGAGAGGAGGGCTCTTCAGCAGGCCTGGGACGCAGCAGGGACTGAGAATGAGCTGTCTCTTTGTATGTACTGGGTCTCCTGCCAGGAATGCCATTCACGATCTTTCTAACTGCCATCCTTCAAGTTACGTCCTGGTCCACTTCCAGGAAAGCTCATCCCAGTCCAAGTCTGAGCTGCCACAGCTCCTTGCACACACCTGTCACTGCACAGGTCCCGTTGTTTTACACCTATTATGCCTTTCTCCTCATATACATAGAGAGAGCAAGGCCAGGCTGGGCTCTGTAAAACCCTTTCTCAGAAAAACAAAGCAAAACCACTACAACAAAACTACCAAGCTAACTCAGCAGGACCTGGCTCCCTTTGGGAGTTCCCAGCACATAGGGATCTTAGATCAGGCTCAGCTAGCTAGACTAAGATGCCCTTGCCAGCTGCCTCCTCAAGAAGCTCAGGCGTCATTTCATGTCTCCCAGGGAGAACTTCTTGGTCCTGGATGTCTTTTTTGAGGCCCTAACTTCTGAAGCCATGGAACAGCGAGCAGCCTATGGCCTGCCAGCCCTGCTGGGTAAGCTCTGACCCTTACCTCAACTCATGTGTGGATCAACCCAGCCTGTTCCCGCTGACCCGGACCTCTCGCTCCTCAGGGGACCTCGGGGGACAGATGGGTCTGTTCATTGGGGCTAGCATCCTCACCTTGCTGGAGATCCTTGACTACATCTATGAGGTAAGGGCATGTAGGAAAGAAAGGCAGAGTGAGTGGATGTGGCTCCTGGGTGGGCTGGTCTGGCTGGGCAGTGGGCTCAAGGTTCTAGAAGTGCCTGAGGGTCTGGTGCTGAAGAGGCTGGGTTGGGGTATGGGGACCCCTATGAGAGGGGTTGCTAGGCGCCAAGTCCTATAACTGAGACCCTTCTATACCCTACCTTGACCTGCAAGGTCTCCTGGGATCGACTCAAGAGGGTGTGGCGACGGCCCAAGACCCCACTGCGGACATCCACTGGGGGCATCTCCACTTTGGGGTTGCAGGAGCTAAAGGAACAGGTGAGTGACCTGCTCTCCTGCCAACCTGGAGCGCACCCTCTCTCCAGAGCCACTTCCTGAAACTTCCTGAGACACCCCAGAGGACACGGAAAAGCCACGGTTGAGACTTGAGTACACAACTTAACCGCCATCCCATCCCACTTTCATTTTGCAGAGCCCTTGTCTAAGCCGGGGGCGTGCTGAGGGCGGAGGGGCTAGCAGCCTGCTTCCCAACCATCACCACCCTCACGGCCCACCAGGAAGCCTCTTTGAAGACTTTGCTTGCTAGGACGGTGCTGGGGGGGGGGGAGAGGGGAAGTACCCCTGAGTCTGGGGTTCTACCCAGGCCCCACACATCTCCTCTCCTGGGACAGAAGGCATGGGGCAGCCCAGGGCTAAGGGAGGGGGTGGTGCTCACTGAGAGACCAGGACTGGGGTCCTGCTCTCCCCAACCCAGGCTCGGCTGCCTTGTACAAGAGTCCTTCTTGTCCACACTCCCTGCTCCCAGGCGGGTGTCCAGGAAGGGCTGAAGACCAGACTAGCGGCCCCTGAGTGAGGAGGGGCGGGAGGAAGAGAAAGATGGGGGGCTGAAACCCTGGCAGGGCCCCTCTGTACATCTGTATATATTTAGGGACTGGGTGGGGGTGGGACACAGACACAGAAGGGTGGGGTTGCAGGGGTGGGTGCACAGGGTAGTCGGGGTCCCAGCCCGTGGCAGAAAGCAACTCTTTGGGCCCCAGGCATGTTGGGCTGGTTCTACTTCCCTTTTCCCAGGCCCAGTTCCCCTCTTGGCAGGGGGAGTGGGTGGCCCAGCAGGCCTGGCCCAGCTCCCAGTTCCCCCTGTACCAGCCCCACAAGTTCCCTCCAAGGGGAGTGTGAGTGGAAGACCTTTCAGGACCTTAGCTGAGCTTAGGGGGCGGGGGGAGGGGGGGCGGCCTTCTCAGTCCTTGCTCCCTAAAGACTGGTTTTATAAAGTGCAGGCGAAACTGGGAATAAAGAGCCACAAAGAACTCTGTGTCTATGTGTCTGTGTGTGTGAGAAAGAAAGAGTGTGCTGGCACATGCTTGCCGGGGACGGGGCATCTCTATGACTTGGTCCATGTAAAAAGAAATGACGGTCCCCACAGAAACAGGGCTTCTCCATCCTTATAGTCAATCCTCCCTATTCCCGTGCCTATCTGAAACTTTGAATTACCAGTCTACACTCATTAGTCCACACGTAGCCAGTTTATTAAAGCCAGGGCTTCATTATGAATCCAGAAGGGAGAAGGTGGTAAATACCACACCCCCCTTTCTCTGCTTCCTCCTTTTCTAACAACTCATCTACAGCCCAGTCCCCCGGATAAGATCCCAGGAACCGTGGCTGGCGTTAGGCATAAATACATAGAGGCCACAGCCTGAATCAGCAGCGTCAAGGGGGCAGGGGAACTGGACAAGAAAGGATGGCTCTAGGGCATCTCTCTCAGGACTTGTCCTGAGCCCATGTGCCCACAAAGCAAAAGACAAGGGACCAGTGGGCTGCCCTAGGGTCTGAGGCTACAGCCAGCCCTGTCCAGCGAGGCTGGCATGTGGCTCCAGGTTATCAGGGAAGAGTAGGGAACAGGTGTAGGGGCCTAGGTGCTGTTGCCCTGTTCCTGCTCAAAGAGTAGCATGGCAAGCTGGGTGCGGGAGCCGAGGCCCTCGAGTAAGCTCTGTCGACAGCGGTGGTACAGATCCTCACTGAGCCGTGCACTACAAGGCTGGGCCCGGTAGCGTTGCAGCAAGGCCGGTTCCACTGCCCGCAGCACATGCAAGCTGGAGAAGCGCAGAAACAACTCATACACGTCCAGGCTCTCTAGCAGCTCCTCCTCCTGCTCAGAGGCTGCCGCCAGCTGTCCACGGGCTGTCACATAGTCGGAGTTGTAGAAGCATCCCTCACTGGCAGCCTGGCGATCAAAGTGGCCGGTGTCACGGCCCAGTTCTGGTGGCCCGGGCCCCTGAGGTGGGGCCACAGCAGGATGGAAGGCCTGGAAGTGCATGGGAAAGAAGGCCTGCCAGCCAGAGATGGCATGCATGCGGCAGCGGTTCAGGAAGTCAGGTGTGAGCACTGTGTCTGGCCCGGCCAGCAGGAACAGAGTGTCTAGTGGGTGCTTCTTGGAGAGTAGATCCATGAGACGCAGTGGAGAGGGTGCAGCTGTCTGCACGCTAAGCCAGGGCACTCGGGCACCAGGGAAACGTCGCTCTAGCTCTGCCACGTGGGCCTTGACGGGTGCGAAGACATCTGCGTGGGCTGCCCGCTGGGCCTGGCGTGGCTCATACAGTAGCAGCAGGGTCAAGGAGGCTGCATCACCAGGCTCCAGTGCTGCGGTGGCAAAGGCTTCCAGGAAGCCAGAAGCCAGGTCACGCTCAGCTGCAGCTAGCGGCAGTAGCACAGTGAGCCGAGAAGCCTCAGTGACATAGGGCACAGGCAAGATCTCCACTCGGCTCAGGGGCCGGAGGAGCTGTACTCTTCGGGTGAGGGGCCAGCGGCCACCCTGGGGTGTCAGTGCTTCCAGCTGCAAGTCCAATGTGTACTCCATGCCCCGGGCTGGATCAAAACGCCGGTAGCCGTTCACCAGCTGCTGCTTCTGGAGCCGCAATGCTGGTTGGTAACGGCGGTTGAGCTCCTCTAAGGCTGTCCCCAGGACATCAGCCACATCAGCCTGGTCGGCTCCACGCAGTGGGCAGCGTGGCGAGCCATCAGCACAGGAGAAAGTGTACTGTTCCGTGAAGTAGTCCCAGCGCAGAACCTCAAAGCGTGAGGCAGGGCGGGATGGGGCTGGAATGCCCACTGGCCAGGTAGAAGCCCGTTCCCCATCAGCAGCCAGTCTGCTAGTATTCTGGATCTCCCACTGGGCCAGAAAAATAGGCCATGAGCAAAGTAGGAAGCCATATAGCCAGTATATACTAGAGGCTATGTGGGCAGTCAGTGAGGGAGGACCCCCAGCCTACTGCAAACCTCTGCTCACCCAAGGGTCCTACACTGTCTCTCCACAGGTTTAGGCAGCTTGAAAGGTAAAGGGAATTTTCCAGAGGTCAAAGACCTGGGATTTTAGTGCTGCCTTCTTATTCCCCACAATCTCTCAGAACCTGTTCTTCTCTACCCCTTCATTCCCTCCCAACCCTCAAGCCCAGACTATACCTGCAATTCTCGAATCTCCTGGTATGTGCGGTCCAGCTCAGCCCGGGCAAATGCCTTGTGCAGCTGGTACATGTGCACAGGGTCATACACAGGGTGGGCTGTCAAGGCGTTGCGGAAACGAGGGTCCCCCTCTTGCACAGGTTCCCCAGGGCTCAGCTCCAGATAGTTGTAGTGTACTCCCTGGGGAGAGGACGGGAAGCACCCATAATAGAAACAATCACAGAACTGTCTTTCCTCCATTTCTTAGCTAGTATCTCATGTCCTAATCCTATACCTGGTTATGGACTTGACAGAGTTCTGTGAACTTTAAGTCTATTCGATTAGTTGATGCTATACAACCCTGGTCAAGTCTCTTTGTGTTCATCTGTGAAAACGGTCTTAGAGGTGCCCATAGAACTAAATAAAAGAAACAACACTAAATACACACAGTGTTCAAGGATCTCTCAATTTTCCCTAATCCCGATACAGCCCTGCCCAATAACTGTTCCCATCAGCATGCAAGAGACTGCTGAAGTTCAGATTTAGCAATTTACCTAGGACCACTGGGATTTTTTAAAATTATAGACTAACGGGGAAACCCAGGCCTGTATCTATACCACTCGGTATCTCTCCTGGCAAGTATGCCAGCTCTGAGAGGAGACACTAATGGGGAGGCTTATCTTCCTACCTCATGGTCACCAGTACAGCCCACACCTGTGGCATCAAGGATGCACCGTCCCAACCACTCATCTGGGCGAGCACTGACGATGTCATTGCGGCAGCTTTCCAGGTGGGGGCGCAGTTGCTGTAGCAGTGTGCGTGACAGTAATATTCCAAAGCCCCCGTGGCAGTATCGGCCTGGGGTGGCATCTCCACCGATGAAGTCCTGGGGCCGTCCAAGATAGAGATGGGTTGCCGAGGCAAGGCTGAGGTGGCCAGCTAGACGTTCCAGTCCATGAGCCTCAGTGTAGGTGGCATCAGGCACTAGGAAAAACCAGTCAAAGTCATCGCCGTGTTGCTCCAGCAGGTGGCGCAGCGCCAGGTGCAGGTGTCCGATGGGACGCTCTTCGCCCAGTGTCACCACGGCCATGCCCGATGGTGTCCGCCGGCCCCGCGCACCGGTCAGGAACACTACACGCTCCAATCGGTGTCCCAGAGTTCGGTTCACAGCCACGCCCAGTGTAGGCAACGTGGCCTGTGAGGTCAGCACTGCAACCAGCAGCCTCTGCCTGATGCCCAGCTCCGTGCTGATATACCGAGTTCTGGGAAAAGACAGTTACGAACAAGATAGCACACAGGCTCCGCTTGTTATTTCTTCTTTAGGCCTGTTTTGCACCCATGAACAGGATAAGAATAACATCTTTCCCACGAGGCCTGAGAATTTAAGTGACACACTGGTCTTAGTATTTAGGAGATAGCAATTCCCATGCGGGTAAAAGAGAGAGATATTAGATCTAATTTCGGGTTTCACAGGATAGTAGTTGTGTCCCTGAGTATAATACTTAATTTGAGCCACCTGTAAAATGGGACCGATAGTATTTAAACAGTAAAATGCTGGACATACCGTGCATATACTTCCTGCTATATGAAGATGCTGTCATCCCCGCCCCGCCCCCCCCCAGTATGTTCTATAAATGATGTGTAGGAACACATGGCATAGTGGTATAGAGATTGTCTTTCCAGAAGGGGCAAACTGAACCAGTAACTCACCTTCCTAAGATGGAACTCACTGTTACTTAGAAGAAATTACTTCAATTCGTGGGCAGAGACATCAATGTGATGAGTACATTCCTCCCTCTCCCATCTCATCCCAAGGTGGCCCTTGAAACCCATCTAAGAACGAAATACAGGTAAATTCCAGGTCCCTCCTTTTTCTCTCCCCCTCTTTATACACTTATCCTCCTTAACACTAACCCTAAACAGACCAGCTAGGGGGGTAAGAGGGTCTTTGGGGAACTATGGGGACAGCCGGTTCAGCTCAGCTCAGATCCGGACGTGGTCCAGAAAAAGCTTCAAACTGGCCCCCTGCCTCCCTGGAAAGCAGGATAATAGGAAGTAATCGAGCCCAAGGACTTCCTGGCCGGCCAGCCCCTTCCTTCCGGAGCCTGACCCGGCCTCCCCAGCGCGCGCGTCCGGGCTGGTACCCGGAGGAGGTGGGGAGGGGCGGA